CCCGTGAAATTTCAGAGATCACCCGCACTCGGGTCACGAAGAGACTGTCCAATAACGCGCGAGCGCCTTAATGAAACTCCTCGTGTCTCGTTAATAATCAAAATTTCGCGCGACAGTGTAAGAAAGTGTAAGACGAGGGACGAGGTGAGAGAAGCTGGACCTTTTCGTCACGAGCAGCCAGCTTCACAAGAGCGCTCTCGTTCGAATCAACGACTCGCGCGAGATTTCGCAGGCGTTGTCGGTCGGATAAAAAACTCCGTGCCTCGGAATTCAACGCGGGGAACGCGGCGGTGATTTCGGTGAAAGGCAAAGAAAGCCGCCCGTTAACGGGAACGCGATTCTGATTGCAAATTACACGGGGTGCCTTCAATCGCGGCGAAAGAGTAACTTCCATTTTCGCGATTACACTCGGATTCTCCGCCGCTATCTCTCGTAGAGATGCACGATGCGGGTTGGCCAGTAAGTCTGTGCGATTTTTTCCAAGTAAATAACGCAAAATTTTCTCGTATTAACACGCTCCGTAACACGTCGGACGTCCTACAGTGAATTTTCCGTTCTAGCCATCTTGAATTGTTAGAATTTGTTTAAAAATTTGTTACAAAGTCATGTATTGACATCTTAATATATGTCAACCCTTTATCCTATCGTGGGACGTATACGCTTCACACGGCGTTAAAATCTTACAATTCGGTAAAAAGATGTAAAATTTGTTATCAAAATAACGTTAAAGTATTTAGTATTATTGTATAACGTCACATAACTTGTATAATAACTGATTCCAAGTATATTATATAATTTATATAATAAATTATTATCATTAAAACACATAAATAATAATACTAAAAATATTTGTAACAAAATCTTTCGTCTTAAATTAACTTTGACACCGTTAAAAAAATTATTTAAAATTAGTTAAAATAATAACCTCAAAATTAGGTTTTAAATTTGGTTTGTTCTGTAGTGCATCTTAAATTCTGAACACTTTTCTTGACAATTATAGTTTTTACACTTTGTTATAAAAATTGTGCGCGAGATTTAGCAAATCATTTTTGATACACGCGTCCTTCACCTCTGTGCACATCAGCTTGCAATCTTTTTACACGCTTTCTCTTCTTTTAAAATAAAACAAGGAAATACTCGTTTTGATTTTCCATTTTTTAATTTCAACGCTTGATGAATTTGCGCGCAATTTTTTTGAAAAAGTAAGCTCGAAATGTTAAGTAGAGTGAGATCACTTACATTTTACATCTGTCTTGCACAATTGTCGGAAGAGAATTCGCACATTCGACATATTGGCCAAGCTTAACAGAGTAGACAGAGAGAGTTTCGCGATTCTGTTGCAGGTACGTGTACAGGCAGCGCGGCGGGATGAACATGACGAGCAGCCTGCTGCTCTACTCCGTGGACAGTTCGAACGAGGGTACGTACACGTGCGTGGCGGAGAACGGTGCCGGCTCCGCCGAGGCGAACCTGTCCCTGCGAGTGCAGTTCCAGGAGAAGATAACCGTGGAACCACCGAACGACCACTCGAGATCCGGATACGTGGTGGCCGTAGCTGCGGGCGCTCTGGTGGGCACCCTGTTTGCCCTCGGCTCCCTAATCGGCAGCATAGTGTTTTGTGTGCGTAAGCGTCGCCGCGACCGCAAGAGAAACTCGAAAGCCCTGGTGTCGCAGAACAAGTCCGTCATGCCCATCACCAAGGACACCACCACCAGCCTGCCGTGCAGGAAAGGCAACGGTAGCCTGATCGGGCTCGAACACCAGCAGATCGTGTCGTACACCGAGCGTGAGATGAACCGTGCTGCAACGCTCGAGCGCAGGGAGCACCGTAGCCTAGAAGAGCCGTACTGCAGCCCGGTGTCCAAGTATCTCACGGAGCCGGACCTGATCAACGAGGTCCCGGAGACGACGGACGTTGGCTACGGTCAGCTGTACCGACATCAACCCGGCGAGAGACAGATCCTGGAATACGACTCCGGATACCCGCTGCAACCGGACCTGCGCCCGGCGAACATCCCGCAGCTCAGCTACCTCGATCAGGACGGCTACCCGTTGAACTTTGGCCTGCCGAAGATCCCGTTCAGCGCGGCGAGCACGCTGCCGCGTCTCAGGCAGAGGATGCCCGTGGAAGGCTCGGCGGTCGCACCTCCAGCCAGGTATTCCCGGGAGGCCGAGTTTCTTGCCAGATCGCCGGGATACGACCCCGTGCTGCCTAGGACCGACACCAGGTACACTGCCGAGGGATATCCTTATCCAGCTCAACAGCCGATTCAACCGATTCAACCGATTCAACCGGTCGAGCAACAACCATCGATGCAGCAACAGCAGCAGCAACAACAACAGCAGCAGCAGCAGCAGCAACAGCAGCTGCCCGTTTCTCCCGTGTCACCGGTCGCCGTGTTCCCCGAGGTGCCGTTCATTCCCTCGCCACCGGCCGCCTACAGAGGCGAGACCACGCCGCTCTCGCCCAGATCGCTGTTGAGCAAAACCGCCCGGG